AAAATTTAAAGTGAAGTTATGCCCGTGCCTTATATGCCCATTTTTGCACCGGCATATGCCGGGTTTGCAGAACCCTAGTTGTAATATATGGCACACGTCCTTGGAATCTTTCCCTAAAGGAATGCTTCTGCGAGTCTTTGTTTTTATAATGGTATCCTGGTTCAATAGTGGTATAATTCTACACTATTTATGGTTTTGACGGGAGAGTTCTAAATTTGTATTATCTGTTATGTTATACAGTTTATCTATTTTTTCTGTATACGATATATATCATTAATAAAAAATTATTACGTACGTATATATATATTATTTAACTAAATTACCAAATCTGTATTTACTAGTTATACGTACGTATTATATAGTTAACTCTTTCTAAATGCAAGTCAATTGGCCAGCAATACGTAGAAAAAAATTTTGCAATTAAAAAAAAAACTAAATTAATACGTATATAATTATTCTCTAAATACAAGTTAATAAATTAAAAAAATATCTTATACTAAGAAAAATCTTTAATTAAATACCGTAAATCAATTTAATTGGTTAACAAAATATCTTGCAAGAAAAAATTTTTTATATATTATATATAGTATTTGTAACTTATTAAAACAAACAGTTTGCTTTTATAGAACTTATATATAGTATTTTAGATAATCAATTCATAATTGCTATATTATAATAAAAATAACTAATTTTAACTAGTAGTAATGTACCATCTCTAATTTTTTAAATAGCTATCCATAGTCAGTTCTACACAACGTGAGTTATAGATTAATTTATTCATGTGATAAATAAAATATTTCTCAGACCAGATTTATAAAAAATAAAATATTAAAGCCATCAGCACTTATGGATCATTTTCTATTCTAAATTCATTTGGATATAACTAAGTCAAATAATAGCGATAGTAATCAGACATTTTGTCAAAGATTTATGTCACGTAAATGTTGCATGTAACGTCTGACGAAATTAGTTACATAAATTTAGTACAAACGAACGAACATAATCATTGGAGTCAAATTGATGGACATTAATTTTAATTGTAATACGTAACATAGTGATAAAAACAAAAAACTACAATTTATTGTCATTATCGCATCTGAACATCCAATTCATGCAGTTTGTGATAAATATCAGAAGACAAAACACTACATTCATAAGCAATCGTAAAAAATAAAATATGAAAAGCATTAACTAAAAGTCAGAGCATTAAAAGAGCATAAATAATAGAGGCCATAAAAATTACCTATGTTTTAAATATCCAGCAAATGTTACAAGAGCTCGAGCTTTTCGTTGAAGGGTAACGGATTCCTAAGTAAAGTAAATTAAATAATTAAATATTATCAAATTAATGTTTAATTAATAAACGTGACTTACATCCATATATTTTCTCAAAATGCCCGGTGTTCCCTTTGCCATATTATCTTTTAATTGTTGATAATATGCATATATGCATCTCATAGTAATATGCAAAAGTTCTGGAATACAGTTTTTTAACTGATCATCAAAAGCCTCAATGGCACTAGCCTTCTGTTGAATAACGATAATATCATCTTCAAAAGGAAAAAGATCGATTTGTTGAATAATCTATTTGTGGAATGAAAATGCAGTTGAATATGCATACACGTTTCAAAGGTGAATTTATTAAATACAACACTTACAGCTACTGCTCTTACAAAATCTTGCTGCTTGTATAACTCAACAAAATCGACTAAATTTAACAATGTGCGAGAATCCTTCAAACGATTCTGCGATATTTTTCTAATACCTATACGTTCATATTCTTTCAGAATACGACCAATCTCCTGAGGGTCCAATTCCTTCGCGGTCTCTGGCTGCATGACAACACCACGAATAGAAATCCATATATATTCCGCAAGCATCTTGTTAAGCAACACAATAATTTCTTCAAAATTCTAATAGAAGTTGTTCAGTCATAAAATGTCTCACGTTGTTAAAATGTATTATATACCTAGATCAATTACCTGTGTCAATTCATAAAGACTACGCGCAGCTTTGAATTTTCCATCTTCAACGCATTGCCGCGCAAGCGTGTTGATAATTGTTTCTGTGAATTCATCTTCATTATCTATAAACATTAATGGCATATATTCTCTCATTTTGCCCTATTATAATGTACATTATTATTTGAAGATTTATGAACTATTTACACTCTAATTTACACTCGAATCTTGAAAAAAAGTAAATAAAAATCCATTATATGAATGTCACTAACCAACTCATTAAACGCTTCAGTATCATATATGAGTTGTCGAATATATTCATGGCATAATTCAATTTGATATCTGCCGGCTTCTGTCAGTGGATCACCGTGAAGATATAGTAAAAGGAGATATTGGAAGGCAGTACTTGGTGCATTTCCTTTCGCTATTGACCGTGCATATTGGCATATGAGGGTATTAAAATTCAAGTACGGGATCATCCGATCTCCAACCTCAACAACTGAAACAAAAATTATTTTAAACACAACTGACGCAGAGAAAATTACAAACGCAAATATGTAACATATACATACGCAATGCCATCGCCTCGCCTTTCTCTGGTACTCTAAGCAACCCATAGTATGCAAGTGCAATAGCAAAATGTACAGCATCCTCTGTAAAATCAGTCCGGTACAAATAATGCACTGCCTTTAAAATGATCATGATGTTAAATAATTATATTTAAAGGTCAATTATAACTTTTGATTTCAAAGTTTAATTGTAAAGTTCTTACCCTTTCAAACTGTGCCGTTAACAGTAAAGCTCGGAAATATTGTATAGTATCTTTGCCACCGTGATTGAAATGGCTAGGGCCCAAGTTTCTAATTGTCTTTTGCAAACTATCTAATGATAAAGTATCATTCGGTGCACCAACAATTGGCTCGATCTCACGAACACACATCAACTGAATAACAAACAAATATTAAGTTTAAAGGTTGATAGATATCAAATACAAAATTCCAATCAAGCAGCTTATTAAATTACCCGCATCCACATGAAATCTTCTGAAGTAGGAAGAAAACTTTCAACTGGAGGTTTCTGAGGTAATTCTTCGAGTTGTGCGACTATTTGATACATAATAAATTTATATGGATCCTTATCTTGAAAAGTTAAAGGGTTCCATTGCTTCATTTCTGCCACTAATTTTTGTCTATCTTGTGAAGGAAGTCTGAACAAAGAATAATATAATTAATGGTTATTCCATTAACCAATGAAAACTATCTATATTATTTATTGTTCATACTTGTTATTATTAGTAATAAATAGTTCAAAATATCTCACAAAGTGAATGTCCTGTCTAGGAAGATGAGTTTCATAATCTTTAGCTACTTCCAGAGCTTCTTTATAATATCCTTGTCGCATAAGAATGAATATATGTCCCCATATAGGGATATTATCTATCATCTGTTAAATAATAATAATAATAATTATTATTATTAACAAGTGTGAATAAATCTTCTTAAATGACGTACATACTCTTAAACTCGTCGTTGGAATGCCACCGTTTAGCCTATGTATTGCACGCAAAACAGCGCGTGCCGTGTTAGTTGCAGAAGGTTGTCCACCCAACAAGGCTTCGCTTCGAAACGAGCTTACGTAAGCAGTGGACCATTCTCGATACCTTGAGTTTATGACACGAAAAACATTTAAGAAAACAACTGAGTCACCCAACTAAGACATAGAATATAAATAAATCTACGCACGATTCCTCTAAATAATGTTTAGAACCATTTATGAGGTCAAAACAAAGACTTTTATATGCAGCATTAAAAGCTGGTGCCTGGTATGCTGATGCGAACTGACGCTGCTTTAGTGAATTACGTTTAAAACTGCCATCAATGACGTTAGATTCTTTGACAATAGACGCAAGTGCCCTCCAACATTGAACAACTTTTCGTCCCTAACAAACGTAAATTAATAAGCAAATATTTAAGGGTTTGTTATATAATAGATTTCGTAAAATTTTATTGCTACATACATAATCCAAACTAATCTTTCTTGCAGCGTTGTGGAACTCATTTATAATGCCATATTCAATCTTTGCCAATCTAGCATTATTTAACTTTACAACAACATCGAAATAAACCAAATGTCTCTGATTTAATTGTAAAGTTGACTCATTTTTAAACGAGATTCTTCTTTCTCCTGAAGTAATATACGATGGTTTCTTATAATTATAAAAAAAATCATAATTTAAGTCAAATTGTATCATTTACCAAGAGATAAAAAATATACGTATTAAAATGCCAACCGAAGTCGAAGCTCTTAAACTGCTTGATAAAGATGCACTTGGTGAGAATTGACTTCGAAATACACTACCCCCAGCACTAGTAGGGAGTTCAGTTGATCTCATTGTTATGTGTTGGCCAAATTCCTCAAACACCTTTCTCTTAGTTTTATCCCATTCTGAACTGAGACAGCAATCGAAAAGAGCGTTATATTCATTGTCAGTCTAAATTAAGAAATTAGAAAATAATTAAATGTATATAAGATAATCATGATGATAATCGACCTATTATTGTGATTATATATATAGTAAAACTACTTGTGTATAACCATCTTTTATAATGCTTGTGATAGTTTGTTGGTGTTTATGGTCAAGATATCTCTAAAGTAATAAATGAAAAGGAAGGTTATTAACAAATAGAAAAATAATAAGATTGATATTATTTATTTACTTCAACATCGGTATCAAGTAAAATGGTGCGTGGTTCGAAAGCACCTAACACGGAGATACTTTTTACATCCTGTGTCAATTTATCACCATCGATCCCAATATTTGCTAAGAAATAAGGACTAGATACAGGTCAATAAAAGAACAAATTTTTATAATATAAAGATTAAATATATAAAATAAGCAAACTTGAGTTATGGTATAAGACACAAATCGAGCCATAAAATACGTATGAATTACTTTGAAGGAGTAAAATATGGCAATCATTGATTTGCACTTATGTTTCTAGCCACATAACTATCTTTAATAAAGAGATTTAAGTAACGGGGAATTAAACAAATTAAACACGCACGCCTTTCTTTCAGGGGCTTCACCGGGTTTTACAACGTTATCAGCAAGTTTACGCGACTGTTTCTCAATTTGTTCTAAATTTCGTTCAATTAATGGTAGATCATTTTTTGCAACCGTGTTTGCAACACTCCGAGATCTTTCCACAAGTTGCTTAAGTTGTACGCTGCTTGCCATATTTTAAAAAACCATAAACAATTAAAGAAACTTTTGCACAACTCCAAATCTCTGACGCATATAAATAGATAATTGGAATATAACTTAAATTATCAGTTATGTAACATGTAAATCAAGTTTCGCATAATCCGCAGTAAACTTTTTTATTGGGCGATTAATATTTTTTTGATAATCGCTGTTAACAAAATATTATCGGCACTCAGTATTCAAAGTCACTGTAAGCAGGCAAAATAATCCAGATACAGCAACAGTATCATTTTTTCTGGGCGACTCTTAAGCGACTCTAGGGTTGTTTATCATCAAAGTCTTGCTACGACAGTCAAAACTTCTAGATTCGACTACAAAAATTATTTGAATAAGTATGGTTTTCCTGAAATTTCGTTTTTTGTTTCTCTTTCATCACTTGGCAGGTTCTTTGATGGCGTATGACATTGGGGTGCGCGAAATCAAAATTGTGTGGTATCATATAAAAGTTATTAATTATTGATTTTTTTAAATTTAGTGATCGAGATTATTTATCACTTTTTATATAGTAAAGAATTAAATAATTTTAGGCGTCTAAACCGAATTGCTTTACTTTATTTAATTATTTTAACATAAAATCTATTCTTAAACACGTTTATGACAAAGCTACATTGAAATTTTTTTTAACGCTAAGTAATATTTAATTTTCAAGTTGACTTTACAAAAAATTTTATTTAATATCGTGAACTATTCAAAAGAAATATTTTCGTGGTAGGTATAAAGCGATTCGGTCTAGACATCTAAAAATCAATTAAAATATATACGTATAACAAATTCTGATCACTAAAATCAAAAAAAAATCCAATTAACTTTTTTATATGATTCGTACCACACATAGTTTTGTTATATATAGTTGATTATTGATTTTACTATTTACTAGGCTCTTTTCTATTACGAGAAGGCTTGTGAGTGAGTAAATATTTATCTTCATGATTTACTAATCACTTAGAGCCACTGTGACTAGGAACATATTTCTATTGGAATTGGACATATTGTATGTCCAATTAGTCTAATTGCTAGGTCTAGAGTAGTGATGCAGGCGAATCGTCCCAATGATGCCGTAACTTGTCGTAACTATCTTTGTAATATGTAATAATTATAATGGCTACGGCATTTTTGGCGTAACTTAATTAGTTACGACAAGTTACAGCAATTCACCTGCACCTCTAGTCTAGAGCTCTTACCTGGGTCGGGTTGACCATTACGGGTCAGCTTCTTAACGGGTCATGGATATAATAGATAAAATCTAGTGATCCAGAACTTTTGACTTAGAAAATGGATGAACTCAAATTATGATGCAAAACCTGAAAAGTTTCGGTTCAAGCATTTATTATATTAATATAAAGGCACAAGATAAAATTATAAAAATTCTATAAACTCTACTCGAGAGTAACCTATATAACTATTGACCCAACTTTATAATTTTTATGATTTTCCATGACCCGGGTCAATAGGAGGGACCACATATGTATCTAAATCATGATGAAATAATGCTGACCGAACTTTCGTAAAGCTGGTGTTTTGTATATAAAGTAATGAAAATTACATGAAATCAAATCTAATTTACTGAAATTTACGTGAAATTACATGTAAGATTGTAACTTTCGCAACACTTAACGAGATGCTTATGTAGTTAAATAAATTTCGTTAGGGCGAATACAGTATTAATTTGACGCACAACATAAGTTATATGAATAAGGAAGATTCAACTAACATCATGTAAAATCATATACTTTCGTATTAAAGTTTTTAAGCAAAATTTTATTTCATTCTTATTATTTAATATATTATTGCAACAATACATGTATTTATTAATAAACTTTATTACCGTTAAACCATTTATACAAGAAAAAAAAAGAAAAAAATATAGAGATACTTAGTTTCAGAGGAAATCTCTTACTTGTCCCAACCACCACGTAGAGGTATAGTTGTTAGACGAAACCTTTTTTGCTTGCTGACGAAAGTCGAAACCTGAGCCCCAAATGACGAAACCTCTGCCG